ATCATCAAGCACAACATCATTCATTGAACATGTTAATTCAGGATTATCATACAAAAATGCTATTCACAATTGTGCAACATATTTTCTATCAAAATTTACAAGGTAGTTACAGATTTAGCTAAAGAAAATAGGATTTGCTAAAGAAAATAGGATTTGTGATGAAATTACTAACTTATTACAAATTTTGAGTATTTTATGATATAAACTCTTACTTGAAATTTCATGTCAAATTGAATGTTTTTTGTATTGCAAGGATTAACCAAAGTTTTAATTAGCACATGATAATGTTTAACGTGATATTTGAATGTATTTTTAAATTATAAGTAAATTGATTTATAGTTTGAATTTTGTTTAGAATTCAATTATTAAAATTTTATCATTCTCCACTAAATATGAGAATACTTTTTTAAACAAGTGTAAAGTATTATGATGAAACAAGTGAAAAAAAAATAATCTTAGCACTTATCATTGAACATAACTTTAATTATTTAAACAAGTGTGAAGGTTTGTGATGAAACAATATGAATAAAATGAATACGTAATAAAAAAATGAATCAAAGAAGAAGATGGAGAGTGAGAATCATATAAGAACCAAACCAAAAGTTGAAAGAAATCAAGACAAGTGATGAATTGATGAAAAATGTCTCTTTAAGATAAGTGATGAAGAATTGTCATTTGATTTGTAAAAATCATGACAAGATTCAAATAACAAGAAATCACTAACAAAAGTGTTCTATCTCAAATGTAAATGGGTTTCAAAAATTAAAAAAATGACAAAATTTACGTTAAGTGTGTCAATATCCGACATAAAAACATTCATTTTGTTTTATCTTATAACTAAAACCTGCATACATATTTGAAATAAAAACATTATAGATTCCAGAAAAAGCAATAATTCATAATAGAATAATACTATACAATATATTACAAATTATAAAAAGGTAAACTTGTAAAAAAACTAAACTACTTAAATATTAAACTACATAATACAATACAATAAAATACAAACAATATATAACTTACAAACTAAGTACTAGAAATGTTGAACGAAAAATCTTGCTCATTATTATCTAATTTGTATCATATCATGTTCTGATAATAGAGATGAATCTTGAAAGACCTGAAACATTAGTCTGACTCTCGTTAACATGCAATATGCATAAAGGTAAATCAACTTAGCAAATGTGAAAGAAATTACCTCCATCTAAGAATTAATTATACTCATAGACTATGACTCTTATCCAATACATGATATAGTAACCACATTATTCATAAGAGTTTGTTTGCTAATTATACTTGAAATGAGAAATAAAACATAATGTTAATTTCAAAATTTATATACAAACAATAATTATGGTATTTATTTAAATAAATTTATAACCTTAGAATACGAGAAAGTGTAAATTCTTTGTTTTGAGTCTTCTACTTAGAACATTAGTTTCAGAACTATTTTAATTGAAATAAAGTTAGATATTATTTAATATATATTTTACACTTTTAAAACATAATGAAAAAATATAACATTACCCTTGTAATAAGCTTTTTAATTCTTGACTTGGTTTTTGGTGCAGTGAACAAAATCACACCAAAGTGTAATATCTAGGAATGATTACAATTAACTACCAATGAGACTTACACTATATGACATAAAAATTAGTCATAAAATTAAAAAATACAAATTAAAATACTAACCCTTCAATGTATGAAGTTAAGTATGTATCTCTTCGTGAATCACTCATCCCTGTTTGCATATATTGTTAGATTCTGACCTTTGTGTTCCTAGATTTTTGGATAGATTAAGGTTCAATAAATTCATATACTTCAGGTTTTTCTTGCTCCATATTCAATTTGTCAATATACCTAACACAATGAGTTATAAGTTAAATATAGTTATTATAATGTTAGAAACATAAATGAAAATGACTTACATGACCCACAACTATATGATGTAAATGCTTAACATGTATTTTTTTCCCACTATTTTCTAATGCATCGGGCAAGGAAATGTAGAGTAGGACAATACAATTGTCAAAATTGTCATAATATGGTCAAAATTATATATATGTGATCATCCTCAGATTATATGATGTCCTCATCAATAACATATTCTCTCCTATGCTTACCACAATAAATAAACTCCTAAACAAATGATAAAAATTGATTAAATATTAATATAGTTATAAGAATAAAAAAAGAGAAAATATACAATATATACATTACTTTTACTTGTGCTTGAAAGTAACATCATCAAACGTCTTGGTCAAGTCAAGAAGGATCACTCCGAAAAGAACAAAGAAAAAGGAATTCAGGAAGTAATAAACAATGTTCCCATTGTGGACAAACTAACAATTAAACAACTACAACCACACATTTATAAAGACGGTAAAGAAGTACAAAAATTAATTATATTATTGTCCACTTCAAGTACAAAATAATAAATACATTCTATCAATATTTTTATTAACTTAATTAATATATAATTAGCATACTTATTAATTAATTATTAATTATTAACATAATTTTGATAAAAGGAATTAAATATTTTCTATATAAATTTTTGTCTAAATCATGTATTTAAACTAATTATTTGTTTATTTTTGCGTAAACGAGAAATTAAAGAAAATATAAAGTTTTTTTCTGAAGAGTTCACTCAATATGGAGTTTTGCTTAGTAAATATCAATTAGAGAGTTCATTGCAAATTTCAACAATTTGCTGAATAGATGAAGATTCCTTGAACGAATGTGTTGTCTTTCGCAAACAAACTTAATTTCCAAAATATGTTTGGTAAATTTGTCGTAAAATCTCAATTATGCAAAAAAGTTAATTGAGTTTATTCAATAATTATGTATCTTGGACGAACCTTACATGTATTGAGCATATGTATCTTGGATGAGCCTTATGCGTATTGAACATGTTTATTGTTGTATAAATAGGCTTTTAAAGATCGAAATTCATAAATTTTATTTTCTAAATTTTACATCTTAAAACATATTCTCTCTAATTTTCCCTCTTTTGAATTACTTAACTTTCAAATCCAATTCTAGAGGAACTTGTACAAATAATACCAAGTTTATCAATTTAAGATGGTTTGTATCAAATATTTTTTTCTTTACTTCTTCCATTAATTTTTGTTTCTCATCTTTTCTTTCTACTTCTTTCACTTTTTCTTTAACTATTTTTCATGCTTATCTTGTTTTTTTTTTTACTTTTTTTTTCATTTAATTTTTGTTTCCCATCTTCTCCGTGTGCTTTTCTCACTTTTGCTTTGATTATTTTTCATGTTAACTTTTGTTTTTCATTTATTTTTCTTCTACTTTTCTCACTTTTTCATGTTTTCACTTTTTAATTACAATTTTGTAATTAATTTATTGATTAAAACTTATTTTCTAACGTTTGACTTTAATTTTTAATATTTTAATATATTAAAATCCATTATAATCAATATAATTAAAATTATTTGAATATATTTTATAGAACATATATTTATTACTTTGTGAAACATGTTTGTTTAATAATTTTAAAGATTTAAATTATTGGAAGAACATAAATATACTATTTTTCTTTATTGTATTTCATTTTAAACTTTCTCTTCAATGTATTCATAGTCATTTTACATGTTCTTTCTTCATCTTCAATGCAATTTACAACTCTCATGTATGTGTTTTGGTACTTTCTTCAATGCTTTCATTCGTATTTACGTGCTTTGATGTTATGTTTTTGTTAGTTTAGTTTATAATTGCATTACTTTCATTGCAGAACATTTGATAACATCCACATTTAAGAAAAAAAACTCTACTCCTGATTGTGCAACATGAATAATGCAACCTGAATAAAGACTATTAAATTGTTTGTTTCGAGAATATAAAAAGCAAATACTTCAGAAAATTATTTGTAACTTAGAAGATAATACATATCTACATTTTGCTTAGGACGGAAATGATTTACCAGTTACTCTTTAATGTATTGTTTATAGTTTAGTTAAATTTCAAATTATATATATATATATATATATATATATATATATATATATATATATATTTTACCATGATGTATACACCTTTAATATAAAAAAATTTAAAATTTTCATTCAATCAATTTAAATATCTAAATTTTTACAAAAATTTTATACTAATTCTATTTTATACTTTGTCAAAATTAAATAGAATAATTTTAATATAAATATATATATATATATATATATATATTATTAATATATGACTATTTTTCTTATGCCATACAGAAAAAAAAACGCACGCAGAAACTGAATTAAAAAAAAAAATTGTAGGATCATCTCAGTAATTAAATATTAATTTAATATTAATATTTGGCGAGGTGAGGGATCCATTGACTAAAGAAATCACATATATATAAATGTTTATAAGCAATTCGTTTTTTATACAAAAAAAAAATGTTTTGTAAATAATGATTTCAGTATGATTTACGGTAAAAAAAAAAAAAAATTGAATGAGAGACCGAAGTTTATCGCATTAAACTGCTGAAATAGAATAAAAACAATGCAGATTCATAAAAAACAATTTTAGACCCAAATCATTTTCCTCAACAGACCTTCATCATCAAAATAATAGTACGGAAAAAGGGATGAATAAAGAATTGCTTATACCCTTCTTCATCCTACGACTACTACGAAAATGGTTAAAAATGAGAGAGGTGCTCAGAAAGAATATTGAATGGATGAGAAAAGTTATCCTCATGAATGAACTATTCATCAGATTAACGAGATTATAGATCTCATCATCATTGCACCTTCTCCCCTCACGATTCCGATTCAGCAAACAAAATGCAAAAATGATAAAGTTTACAAATAAAAAATAAGAGCTAAGAATAAGACACGTACTTGCTCATCGTCTCTGTGAGGCGTAACCATTACTAGGGTTTTGAGGTGTTTGCATTGCTGTACCCTGTCGTATTTATAGCCACACCCATCTCTTAAACGCTCCACCATTCACGACGTCGTTTAGTTTGTTGACTGTGAAGCACCATGTCGTTCGACCCATTTTGTCGTTTAGCTAGGCATGTAATTCAAAAGCTAAATATTTTCTTTTAAGGTGCTGAAAAAAAATCGGTGATTAAGTGTCCGCCAACACAAAAAGTCCAAAAATTATTAAATTAAATTAAATAAAGAAACTATTATTTAAATTAAATCAAAATAATTTTGATCATATCCATTTATTTTTAAATCAGATTGATCCGTAATTTTACGAATAAGCCTATTTTATAAATAATTATATATTTTAAATATAAATATAAATAATATTATTTTATTAAATTATATATATTATATAATTTGTATATTGAATTAATATATTTAAAATTATAATTACTTTTATTAATATAATCTATATATAGTATATTTTATTTTTTATTTTTTATTCATTTTAAAATAAACTATTTTATATAAATATATTATAAACTTTTTTTAAATTTTAAATAAGTAAACAATAGCTCGTTGTCTTGAAAATTAATAATAATAATTTTTTAATTTAAATCGTAATATATATATATATATATATATATATATATATATATATTTACTGTATTAGACACTAAATTTTCTTTCTATAATTTGGTAATTAAATATTTACTAGATATTAATTTCTATTACAATTTAGATGACTTATTGAATGAGTTTATGTACATAATGCATTTTGAATCTTAGATTCATATGATTAAATATGTTTCTAGTTCCAAAGCTATTTTTAAAAAATTATTTTTCATCTTAATTTTAAATATGGATACATTTGGTTCATATAAGATATTGAAAATAATTCTTATGATACATTAGTTGATCATTTATTCGCAAACTAGTACGTTTATTTTATTTGACATGTCATTTATTTTTAGCAAACTGAGTTTCATAGCGTGAATATTTTAATTGGTTTTAAATGTTATTAGTGAAAAAACTTATTGATGTTGATGATAGAGGAGTTTGTTGACGTGAAGTTATTTATTTGTGACATGTTAAGTTATTTATTTGGATTGGATACAAAGTAATAGGTATGCCAATGGGGCGGATCGAGGCAGCCGGGTTTTTCTCTCCGATTTCCATTCTTATTAAATTTTGAGTGTTTTTTCTTCTTCTTGATTTATATTATTTTTAAAAAAATAATTATATTTATAATAAATTAATTTTATTATATATTTTTTATATATAAATAAATATTTATAATTTATAATTAATATTAATTAAATATATATTTTTTATTATATTATATTTATATTAAAATATGTATGTAAAAGAAATATTTAATTATTTATATATATATATATATATAAAATATTTATAACATTATTATTATTATAATACTATATTCAAATATTTAAATACTTATAATATTATTATTATTATTATAATATTGTATTTAAACATTTAATTATATATATAAGTTAATTCATTTTTAAGTTGTAAAAAAATATGAAATATATAGTTTATAAGAAAATATTTAATAAGTTGATTTTTATTTAATTGGTTTGAATTAATAAAAATTTAAATTATCAATTTCTTTTAATATTTTAAAATATAATTATTTTATTAAGATAAAATTTGATATATGAAAAATAGAAATAATAAGATAAAAAATTATGACATAATAAAACCTAATAAATATAAATTATAAATAAAATAATATTAGTTATTACTAAGATTTATGCAAAATATTTAGAAAAAGATAAAGAAAAAAATTAACTTTGTGTTTATCAAATTGGTTGAAAAAAAATTGATGGGAGAGATTAAGGAAATGTGAAAAATAGAAAGATAACAGAGAGAATAATGTAATAAATTAATTGATATAAAAGATTTAAAAAAGATAAAAAAATTAAAAAGTGGGTAGAAGAAAAATAAAAATGATAAAATATAAAAAAATGACCTTATATGTAATAGAAACAAAAAAAATACTTTTAAAATATTAATATTTTAAAATTTAAATATAAAATCGGGATGAGGTCGGGGTAAGGATTGCATTATCTATCCCCACTCCCGACTTTTTAAAGCAGGAAAAACCCGAATCCGCCCCCAGTCAACTCGGGTTTTCCCCGTCAAACTCGGGACGGGGATGGGCCGGTTATTGTCATCCCTATAAAATATCATTTCCTTTCTCTAGTTTGTCATCATCCAAAGGTAAGTTATTTCTTCTTCTTTTTTTTTGAGTTGTTGTTAAAAGAGTAATTATTGATGTGTAAGACACTCTTATTTGATTCAAATGACATTTGATTGACAATGTCTTCGTCGTAATAAATATAAGGTTTGTCCATATGTGTTGGATTTATTATTTGAATATGCTTTTTATTATTGAAATATTTGATTGTAATTGTATGAGTCAAATGGTTTGATTGTAGTAAATGAGATTTGTTGTTATGTTTCATCACATGAGAAAGTTTATAACTTCATTGAAACTACATTATAAGGTTGAGGAGAAACATGTTATTTATAGTTTTGATCCTGATAGATGGTTGTATTTTGAAGTACGAGATATAAATAGGGAATTCAAGTATAATGATAAGGTGACGATGTGGTGGAAACCTAAAAAAGAAAGGATGAACAAACATTTAAAACCATTGTGTCTAAATAAGGATACTATAGAATTAGCTAATTATGTCCTTCGTATAAGGGATTATATAAAAATTTATATGTTTAACATATTGTTAATGAAATTGAGTTTCTTGAACACCTCAGAATGAAATGAAGGGTGTTGAGACGAATAGTGTTGATATTGGTAACGGGGAGGTGTTAGGATTGAGGAGTGTGGTGAAACTAGAAAGGAAGGTGTTGAAGCTAGAAATGAAGGTTATGGGGTTGCTGCCCAAGTTAGGATGAAAGTTAATGGTGAGACTGTAATGGAAGGTGTCAAGACTAGAATACATGGTATTAAGGGTGAACCTATAATAGATGATTTTTAGGGTAATGTTAAAGGTCTGTTACATAGATGATGTTAAAAGGTGAGATTGTAATGAATGATGTTAAGTGTGAAATTGTTATGAATAATTTTGAGGGTGGTGTCAAGAGGGTAATGTTAAAGGTCTGTTACATAGATGATGTTAAAAGGTGAGATTGTAATGAATGGTGTTAAGTGTGAAATTGTTATGAATAATTTTGAGGGTGGTGTCAAGAACGAGACAATAATGAATAATGTTAACGATGAAATTATAATGAATGATAAGGAAATTGATAAAATTTAATTAAAAAATAATAATATGATTTAGAGAGATCAATATAATTTAAAATATTTCTTTATAATTTTTATTTTTAAATTAAATGAGTTGAAATAATAATACTTATAATGATAATTAATTTTTTTATTAAAAATTAACTAAACACTTGTTGAAAATTATTATTATAGTATATAATTACAATCATTAAACATTAGTAATATTTTAATAAAATTATTAATAAAATAGGTTTGTAAAAAAAAGTAATAATATTCAACTTCTTGAATCTCTTTATTATCTGCTGTCAAGAGTTTTTTTATGTTATACACCATTCCTGAATTATCTAACATAATTATTAATTACATCATCTTTCTTGACAAAATCCAATTACGTCACCATGTTAGAAGTAATGGTTCATCAAGATTTTTCACATTGACAACTACTTTCCAGTTTGTGGTGACATATTCAGATTTGGTCCTGGAAATGGTCCATTGATCCCAATAACCTGAAATTGAAAATTGTTACAAAAGGGGGTCAGAGAGACGCATCATTATTCATAGGTGAGTATGAAGCAAACATGGTTGTTCATGATTCTCTTCATTATCTTCCTTTTTTATATAATATTTAAATGTGTAAACTCATAACAATGTTTTTGAAAAATGAAACCCAATTTTATTATACGAATATGTGAAAATGTGACAGTTACATATGTTATAGAATTTATTAACAAATTAATCCTTGAACTTTATAACCTAATATCAAATTAATACTTCAAATGTACAAATTAGTGTCAGATGTTATACATACATTATCTTGTACACCGATTATATTTTATATCTAACAAGATTGTAATTGCAAGCTTGATAAGCGAATAATGGAGCATCTTGCTCAATGACAAGTTCAGCATCACAAAATAACATCGTGCCCTTGCAATCAATGAATGAAAGAACTAACATTTCAATAATAGGTGTACCTAACATTAAAGATCATCCAAGTTAATTACACAGTCATTATACCAATGAGTTTCCGAAGATTTTCTCTCAAAATTACTCTCTTTATCACAGCAAAAACTTTCCAAGGCTCTTTCTAGTGACTCCGCAAGATCCATCTCCCACAAACCTAGCCTACATGTTGTGTTGTAGGTCTGATAACTGGTTGCCCTCAAGCCATCTGATACCAACTCCTTTAATTCTCCACTTATTTCTTTACTAGTCATTATGTCTAGAAAATGTTTTGATACTCCAGGGTGCCAGAAAACAACAATGGCACAACTCTTGTCCACCAATTTAACATCAAAATCTCTTGAAAATATATTATGCGATGAACGAAGTAAACTCTTTATCATGCCAGCTGTCATACCAGGATTGAATCCCCATACGAAAACCAAATGTTCGCAACTGATTTTTCTTCTATTATTGGTCCACACGCCAACATCCCCGGCATTAGATGAATCTTGAATAGGGGGCAAGCATGGATGAAATACATTGGTGGTGTCTTCAAGCTCCGTAGCCAAATGCTTATTGCCAGATTCAGTAACATATGGGGAAATTTTCAATATAGAGCAGAGCTTCGTAAATAAATAGCATAGTCTCAATGCATTAAGTCCATCAATCTTGCCTTCTTTTACTGTGGCTGTATAAACAAACAAATAACAAGACTTGTCACGAAAATAAAACAATTTTTTTCGACTTAAATAATTAAAGAAATAAAAACATGAGTCAGCCTTCTCTAACTATAGACAAGCTAAGGGGCGTTTACTTTTGTACCTTTGTTCCCTATTTTATTTTCTAATAAAAAGTTGTCACCTTATTTCAGTTTGTTTCGCGTATTAAAATATTACTACAGGAAACAGAACCCCCCCCCCCCCCACCCCCACGTTGTTTTCAGTGTCTGTCTCCTGCATAAATCTTAAAAAATAAGCAACAACTTGAAAACAAATTTACTGTTGCACAATTAAATAGCGAGAACAAGAAACAAAATTGAGATGGAACATTGGATTTAAGGAGTTGGACTCCAAAAATTCCTTGATCTAATGAGTAGGGGCAATGCCAGAAAGTGGAGTGGTTACAGTGCTATAACGTGAAAAGTTGGAACAAACTTTTCACACCAGCTTAATGCCACATCAGTTAATTCCTAATATGAAAAATAAAAGATAGAAAATAGCATGACTTTTATAATGTGAATTTAAGTAAAGCAACTTTACAGCAATAGAAAATGCTGCAACCATAGCCCCTGTTCAAGAGTAGCCTTGTCGTCAAGGCTGGAAATTGGGAAATTTCTTCAATAGATAATAGTAGTAGAATTTAGCTTGGTCATTAGGTAAATTCTTCCATTTGACTAACACTTTATTAGCAGCAATACGACCTCGTTTGACCATTTTTCCGTCCAATATAGCCTCTGGATTTCCTTAAGTGAATGGTTCATGAAAGTGTAAAGGTAAAGGGTGAATGACAAGAGAGTGTGGGCCTTTACAGCTCTTCAATTGGGAAACATAGAGCACATTATGAATCTCAGAATATGGAGGAAGTTTCAATTAATATGCAACTGAGACAATTATGTTTAACACTCTATAAGGACCATAAAATTTGGGTAGCAACTTAGGGAAAGAGTGCTTCCAAATGAAAAATTGTATGTAAATCAGGAGCTTCTTTTGATATGAACCTATAGTTGAACAATCAACTTTAATATATATATATATTGTCGAGATATGGGTGTTTGTACATTTATTGTATAATAAATATAGATCTACTTGAATGAAAGATGATTCTAGTTTGTCATAAAAGACTGGTGAATCATACTTTCTTGCCCTCTCAGGTAATATTTCTTGTATGAGTCTCATATAGCGCTAACTCTTGGACTGTGGATTCAGGAATTACAGATCATATGACATATTCATCTCAACTCTTTCATTCTTATACTCCATCTCCAAGCAATAGAAAAATTATTGTTGCCAACTACTTTTTAGCCACAGATGCAAGATATGGAGATATTTATTCAACAACTCAAAAAGGTTACAAATGTTATGACCCTTCATTTAAATAATTCTATATCTCCATTGATGTCACCATTGAGTTAAATCTTTTTCTTCCAATGCTGGTTCCCAAGAAATTTTTTCAGAAAATTGTGATGATCAATTTGACCCCTTTGTTTTGTCATATGCTCCAACTGAACCTGCACCTAAGCAATTAATTTCGGTGTAGAATTAGAAGTTCGAAACTGAGAATATTACTCATCTCACTCAACTGCAACCAGAAAATATGAAACTATACCTACAATTTTTCAAGATTCTACAAAGTCTACACAATTAGAAATTGTGCAAAACAACCTCTTTATCCTCTATCAAACTATGTTTGTCTGGACAGATTATCAACTAACCATAAAAGGTTCATTGTTAGTTTGAATTCTATTGTTGTCCCTAAAACAGTTATTGAAGCTTTGACAAGGAAATAATGGAGAGATGCCATGAAAGTGGAGATGGATTCATCAGAAAAAAATAGTACTTGGGAAATTGTTGATAAACCCAAAGAAAAGAATATTGTCTACTGTAAATGGATATTCACAATAAAATATAAGGCTGATGGGTCACTTGAAAGATACAATGCGAGGTTGGTTGCTATGGGATACACTCAAGCTTATAGAATAGACTACAGGAGACTTTTGCACCAGTTGCAAAAATGAATACTGTAAGGATTCTTTTGTCCTTAGCTGCCCACTCTAATATGATGTTAGAATGTCTTTCTTCATGGAGATCTAGAAGAATAAATTTACATGAATATTCCACCTGGATTTGAAGGAGACAGGAAAAATAAGATGTGCAAACTACATAAGGCACTCTTTATGGACTGAAACAATCCCCTAGAGCTTGGTTTGGAAGGTTCACAAAAGCTATGAAGGGATTTGGCTACAAAGTCAAGGAGATCACACTTTATTTATTAAACGTACAGGGAAAGAGGGGGTAACAGTCCTTCTAGTTTATGTTGATGATATTATAGTGACTGAAAATGATGAAAAAGAGAAGTAAAAATTGAAATAGAGACTAGTTCAGGAATTTGAGCTAGAAGAGCTTGGAAGATTGAAGTATTTTCTAGGGATTGAAGTAGCCTACTCTAACCAAGGAATGTTCATATCTCAACAAAAATATATAACTAATTTGCTGGTAGAAACTGGAAGAATTTGGTGCAAACCAGTATCAACTCTAATGGATCCTAATCATAAGATATGTAAGGCTGAAGAGGAACCAGTAGTAGATAGAAAGATGTAGTAAAGACTGGTTGGAAAATTAATATATTTGTCTCACATAAGGCCAGACATTGCTCATTCAGTAAGTGTCATTAGCCAATTTATGCATGAACCAAAAGAATCTCATCTTCAAGCTGCTTATAGGATTCTACATTACTTAAAGAGTAGCTTTGGAAAAGAAATATTATTCAAAAGAAATGGAAGACTGAACCTTGAAGCCTACACTGATGCAGATTATACAGGTTCTCTTGTTGATAGAAGATCAATAACTGGATATTGTACTTTCCTAGGTGGAACTTAGTGACATGGAGAAGCAAAAAACAGAATGTGTTGGCAAGAGCAACAGCAGAGTCAGAATTCAGGTCCATTGCACAAGGACTATGTGAGTTATTATGGCTGAAAATTATCTTAAATGACTTTAAGATTAATTTGAAGAGACCCATGAAGCTCTATTGTGATAATAAGTCAGCAAGAGACATTGCACATAATTCCATTCAACATGATAGAGATATTTCATTAAGAAAAAATTAGAAGAAGGTCTAGTATACATGTCGTATATTCCATCCAAAGAGCAGGTGGCTGATGTGCTAACAAATGGACTCAATACCTCATACTTCCACAATCTCAAAAGCAAGCTAGGAATGAAGGATATTTATTCCTTAGCTTGAGAGGGGGTGTCGAAATATGGGTATAAATATTGTACATTTATATAGATTTACTCAAATGAAATGTCTAAAAAATTAAGGGATTTTGATTAGGAGGTTATTTGGTAGGTTTGCTCCTAATTTATAATCTTTATTTCCTTTTATTATGTTTTCCTTTAAATACCCATGTACTAGTTTTTCTAAATCAAGAAAAATAATTCCATAATTATTATTTCCTATCCACACAATTTCTCTCTCTCTTTATCTCTCTCTCTCTCTCTCTCTCTCTCACGCACACACCCAAACGAGCTACAAGTCAAACTCCAAACTCGAAAACCTCTTAAAATTTGTTGTTACATCCTCAAAAAGGTCCCGTCATTCTCCAGGAAGTATAACTTTCTTACCATCCTTTGCACTTTCCATAAAAAGAAGTCTTTTGGCATAATGAAAGTGATGAAGATGCAAATTGATAATTTTTTTTTCCCTTCTACAACATCATTAACCAACCTTTCCATGTACAATCCTCTTTCCCATTAGAATCATCACTTCTAAAATTTGGTTCATAATTCAAATGGAAAGTAAAGGTAATAGGTAGTTTCATGCAAAGACATGTGAAGTTGATTATCCTACCTCTCATCAATAATTTTCCAAATAGGTTCATAACTATAAAAGTACTAATCATGTTATATTAGAAGTTGATTACATAATTAAGTAATTAAATTTTAAATAAGAGAAAAAAGGTTTAAAATTTTACCTTTTCTTAATGTTATTAAAGTTGCATTTGATCTTCTCTTTTGCACAAACCATCTCATATATCAAACTCATTGAGGGTTTTGTATTTGAATTCACCAATCAAAATACCTCTATAAGAGGAACGACTAAATCATCTTGTTTTTGCTTCAATAGTTCTTTAGCTGCCTTGAAATTTATGACATTATTCAACAAATTTCACAACATCTTAAATACTTTATATGCAGTTTTTGAGTTATCTGAGGTTTCTAATAAATAAAAAAGCACAATCCTAAAGGGAATATTCACCAATATGTTACAAATTGAATGCTTTTTTTTTTTTTTTTATCTATTGACCCATTAGACATTAACATAATTTTACAACTTGTTCTCTTCGACTCATTCCTATACTCTTGAAGGATTATATCAATTCTGTCCATTACTTGTTTCAAACGTTTCTCTCTAACTTTATGATAAGATGGAGATTTATAGTCAACACCATATCTCCCAATCATCTTAGACATTTTTTCGAAAGTTGAATTTCTCATAACATTGAATAGAATGACACATGTAGAAAAATTCAACAAGAGCATCAACTTTCTTTTTATCACCTTTCTTGAATAATTGATTTAGATTAGCTTGAACATCATCACTAAATTTATTATCCTTTGCTTTACTTTTAAATATCCTACCACTTTGACTTTGTTCACTCAATTGTTCATCAATTTCCTCAATGCTATTTATAGAGGCCTCCTTAGCCTTTGCAAAAAATTTCATTATTAAAATTTTAACTTCTTCTAGAACTAAATTACAAGGTTCCTCCTAATCATATCTATTCTCTATAAGATGATACTTGAATCTAAAAGTTTCTTCATTGAATATCTTTGAGCAATAATTGCATTTCACTTTTCTTCCATTCCATAAAACATCTACTTCATGTTTCCGTGCAATATTTGTCCTATCTTCCACAACATTTTTACTTCTAGGTGAAAGTGAAGATGTAGCAGCATTGGCATCAGAAGAATTTGAACCACATTCAAACATTTTAAAATTTCAACCTTTATTTCTAATATAACAAGAAAAAAGAGAGTAAAATATTAAGGCAACAAAAGAAGAAATTTGAGACCAAAAAAAAAAAAAAAAAAAAGGAATAGGACTAACCAACCACTAGTAAACAAGATCAAGATGAATTAGCAAGAGTACAAAATAAAAAAAGGAATAAGACCAACACAAGGGAACTACGAGAACAACAAAGGGCCAACATGAATCAACGAGAACCAAAATGAATCTATAAATCAACGAGAAACAACAGGACCAAGCTTCCGATGAAAAGCTAGGAAGTGTTGAGACAATGGCAACTTACAAACGGCAACTTGCAAGTGACGACTACAAATGGCAACTTGCAAACGACAACTTATGAAGGCAAATTGCAACGAGCACATATGATGATGATTGCGAATGTTGACTTGCAAGCGCGAACAACAACTTGCAAAGGTGAACAACAACGGCCATAGACAATAGCAAGATGCAAAGACAAACAAGCATGTGAGACCAAAACGTGAGATCCAAAGTTCAAGATGCAACACGACTTTAGGGTGCAAGACTACACCAAACAACTAAGGTAAGTGCCATTTTGGGCATTTCATCCACACTTCAATCACGTCAAAGTTACGAGACTGAACCTCATCCACTATGTCTGGTTTGAGTTTGTCCAAAAAATGAGTCTACACACGAGTCAACTAGCAGCTCAAGGGTTTGAGTTAACCCTAGATTTTGATAATCATTATCCACCATGGTAGATCGTCAGGATGATACCAATTGAAATTGAACTTTGAATTTAGGGAATTGGACTTCGAAAATTCCTTGATCTAATGAGTAAGGGCGTTTAATTCATGAATAAAACCCATTACACTGCAGATTTGATCGAAAATAGAGAATAGAGAGAAAGATTTGTCATAAATATTTTTGTTTATATTTCCCTAAGCCTCAAGCAATGCATAAAAGTAGAGAGTGGCTTCAATGCTCTAGTGTGAAAAGTTGCAACAAACCTTTCCACCATCCTAATACCACATTAGCTAATTCCTAATATGAAAAATAAAAGATAGACAATAGCATGAATTTTTATAATGTAAGGTAAAGTAAAGCAATAGAAAATGAAAACAAGAAACAAAATATAATATGCAAACAGCCCCTAAGAGCCAACTTAGCTTTGGTTTCATTTCCTATTTTCATTTTTTGTTAATTATAAAATTGTCACCTTATACACGAAGCAGAGAAAACCAAAAAAGAGAAGTTATTTTTAATTAATACTTTTAGAAATATTTGAAAACAAGGAAAAAGATTGAAAACAAAAGGGGCATATTTGTAATTATAAAATGAAAACAGAAACAAGCCCTAAGCATTCATTTTTGTAAAGTATGAAACCATTTAATAAGCAGGATTTTGAATTTTGCACAAGCCTAAAAGGTTGTGACCCTCAAGAGGTGGTGACTGACCTTGGTCAGGAATTTCCAAATCAACAGGTGCAAAGAAATAATTATTCAAGTGCGATATAGCACTCGAAATGTTGGTCACTTTTCTCATGGTTCCATGTTTCTTCATCAAGTAATTTATGTCAAGTACATTGGGAAAAACTGAGCGCCAGGAGCCCACAAATTCATCTACCTCCAGTGGAAGTGGTGCAATGAATTTTGAATGAATTAGTGTGCAATCTGCATAAATCAATGAAAAGTTAATAACACTAAGAAAGTAGACCAGATCAATACTACATCTAAGTTAAGAATTTCCATTTAAGAGATACACCATTAAGGCAATTGTAGCAGATAACAGGTTTCTGGGAAGCAGAAATCAAATCGATAACCTCTCGAAACCCTCGTATTTTCTTGCTCTCCTTGTCTTCAAAAGTTTGAAGCTCTCTCTGCAGCATAAAAGCATGATTATTTCCAAAGAAAAAGTTAGGAGGAAAACAAAAAGAGTAGACATTTATCAGTTCTCTTACCTCCAGTAAATCCTTATCTTCTTTGGAATCTACCAGAACAATACGTATGGCAAGTATGGTCCCACTCTTCGCAGGGATCAGCAAAGGAAGAAGTTCGTCTGAGTAGTCTACCAACATCTACAAAGAAACAGTCAAGAAATAAAGGAAAAAAGAACTGAATCATTTAAGTCATATACCAATAGCGAGGTTTTCAAGGTTATATCGTTCAAATTAGAACAATTAGAATTTCTTTAGTTCATTATACCTCGAGAATTAGCTGCACTTGATGTTCACTGCAAACATCTATAGTCATGCAAGGTCTTGATATGAACAGTTCATTGCCAAGGACAATATTCCTAAGGGAGTTGATAAGTTCTTCTGCATAAAATGAGAGTATAAGAATGAAAGGAAAACACAAGAAATTCCTTACCGTACAAAAAACTGCTAAAGATTTTCTCACCATCTCTGCTTGTGTTTGTCCCAGAGCTTTTACATGTCTTTCTCCAATGTTTAATCCGCAATCTAATCCTCTCAACAAAAACTGTATCAGCAACAGTAGGGGGTGAAGAAGATTTCATCACATGAAGAGAAGAGAGAGAAGTTCCCAAACGAATTTTAGCTACTGACTCTTGGGCTCGAGATAGATATGATATGCCTGTCATACAAATCAAAATTCATAGGTTATTAAAATAATGCAACCTAATGCAGGTGGCACCCACCAACATCAAAAAGGAGATGCAGGGAGTGTAAATTACTCAGTCTTAGCCCCACAAGAGGATTTGAAGCCATGACCTCTAAGCTACATGGAAGCAAGTTTATTCTTGTTAAGGTTCATTAGTCATAGGTCATTAGGATGTCAAAATAAGGGATTCAGATTTGCTGTGGTAAGAGATTTTGACACATTTCAGTCAGTCAGTTGGAAACTGTCAATGACGATCAAATATCTCATTTTATCTAAGTAATCAAAAACTTGAGCACATCCAAGATATGAACTATGTCTGATTTCCATGTAAAAATTCTTTCATGCCTATGTGAATATCAAAATGCCTGGAATCCGGATCCCTAAATAGGTAACTAAACCATCGATCCTCAATTTATGTCATAGCATAACAGAGTCCCTAAACAGAATACACATTCAGTATGCAGTTGAAGGGATCGTCTCTGCAGGTGACTAACAATCACCATGATCAAAACCCTACTCCATATTTAGGACAGAAAAAACTCTTTCTTTTTCCCATTCAAGAGTATTTCCTTGTGTCCTTATGTTGCTTTCCAATCAAAGTCGAGTTTCACCTCTGAAGTTCATACATATAATAAGCATTTGCATTAAAATTAAACAGATAGTAGATGTTTAGAATGAAGTTTGCAGACTAAAGTTTGAATCGATTTCCTTTTGCAAACCGAAATGAAAAATAGCTTGCAAAATCAACTTTGGTGTTGCTTTCAACTGAAAAATAGTTTTAGGCCAAATATAAACTTGCAACAGAAATAGTAATAACACACTCTTTTATGCTTCCTTTGTTAGAGCTGATGAGGGAGGGGGATGAAGGAATGCAGGTGAAAAGGAGGAAGCTGCAGTAGCTTGACAAGAAGGATGCGCAATGAAAAGAGAGGAAAGGAGGGGATGGATCCCACAACGATGTCCATGCAACACAGTGAAGAAACTGGAAAATTGATCTCTCATATTAACACAATCGATTATGATGCTAAAATATGAGTATATAAAGTTCTTTTGTAGGCCATAATCGAATATGGACACCCATAATTAATTATTATGGGTCGACATTTTTAAGAAAAAAATTGTTATTTATATGATAATAATAATAAACCATGAAAAAATTATATCAATAGTAATAATTAATAATAAAAAAAAACTTCTTTCCTTTTTATCATTTTTTTTTCCAACCAAACAACATTATTTTCTACTAACTTCTCATCCATTTCTCATCCCTTCTCTTCTTTTCTTTTCCATTCCCTCTATTTTTTTTTCCTCTCTACCAAAGAGAGCATTAAACACACCCTCTATTATTGGCTAAAATTTATTGGAAACCATAAGTACTAGTGACTCATACATTTAATGACTCTATCTCCTAATTTTATAGTTTCCAATCAATTTCATTCAATGGTATAGTGTGGATTAGAAAGAGTGTGTTAAAAGGAGATGTTACTAGCACTCCTCAAATGTGCTTTGAACAGTCCAAACACTAAACCGAATATAAGACTTGTTTGGCCAAACTTCTTCGTAAGAATTTCTACAGATTAGCACAAACATTTTAGCTAATAGAAACTCATTTCATTTTTCTTCTTGTTTTTCTCTCTTAGAAGTGTTTCTAGTGAAACTTGTCAAAACAGAATATAGCCTAAAATTATATGTTGATCGAACCGGAAGCACTTAAGGAACATGTTTCAATTTTTGTCCTTATTTTAAAACTATCAAGTAAAGTTACCCGTTCTCCGCGACCAAAGGAAAACACACAAAAAGCAAAAACAACAGAAGCTCACCATTGTAGACGCAAGCATTGAAATCAAAGCCCCGGCTAGCCATGGAGGCGAGAAGCGATGTCTGGCACAAAAAGCTGTAAGCGGGCATCCCCTTCTTTAATTCGTCTCTCGGAAACAGCACAAAATTATAACTGCAAAATTTTCGACGTTTATCATTCAAAAAAATCATAACCCAGTATTTTCCAAAATAAAAAAAGAATGAAGGTGTTGGGAACTGACGGATGAGCGACGAGTTTGTCGGAGCGAGCGACGGAGAAGGGACAGACAGCAAAGTGGAGCGGCTGGAAGCTGTGGGCGGCGCGACGGGCCTTTAAGTAGGCGGTCTGGGCGGTGTCGAAGGGGAGAGGACGGAGCCAGGACGGTGGCGAGGGATAGCCTGTCTTCGCCATGGATACGGACACGAAGTCGGAGGCGGAGATGTGAGTCTTTATCTCTTGAAGCGACTCTTCGAAGTTGGTGTTTGTCACCTGCTTCACCCTCCATTTTGAGGACGTGCAGAGGAAACGAGTCCGCAACTGAAACACTGAAGCCATAGAACGGCAGTGTATCTGCTTCGGGTTTTTTCTTCTAGGAGCCGTGCATAGCAGCTGCAGGAGGGGACAGTGGTTAGTGTTAACAAAAAAAAAAATTGATATTTAAGTTTTTTAACCTACAACTTGGAGAGAGAAAAAATTAATATATAGAAAAGTATTTTAATAAAAAAATAACTTGGATCAGACCAAATGATTTTCAAAGTCCTTTCCTTGTTTGCTGAATGTACATTTGTGGATGTAGTAAAAATTAATTTCATTTGTAAATTTTTTTTTTCATCTTCCTAAAATAAAACCACATTGCAAAGGTTCAATGAGATCATTTAGATATAAGTTAAGTTCAGCAATAATCACATTTGTTATCACTTTATTACTAAAACTAATAACTACAAAGTTATTCCACACTCTTTGGTTAATCAACTTTAAGAATTAATCACTTTCCATAAATCTATTAAGACAATGTGTCACAATTATTTAGAGATGAAAAATTGAATTTTTTTAGGTTTCAAAATCTTAAAATATATTATCAATGGCAATGTATCACTGACTGTGTTTTTTATTTTTCATACTTTCTTAATAATATTCAGTTTTTTTTTAAATGATAGTGTGTACTATAATGAAAAAATAAATAAAAAACTGCAAGAAAACCATGTATATAGAAACAATTGAAAAAAATATGCGCAATATTACTATATATATATATATATATAATCTTGATAAAAATGTAAATTATTAATGGATAAAATAAAAAATTAAACTCATAAGAAAAAAATATGCGTTTATAGGAACAAATTGAAATAATAGTTTTCAATTTTGAATGTTTAAATTTTATTTATTAATTTTGTTTTATTCGACCCTCTTAAAAGTTATTTTGTAAAAAATAAATTAGTAAAATATTTTGTAATTTTTATTTATATTATATATATATATATATATATATATATATATATTATTATCAATGATTACGTTTTTTTTCTCATTATGAACATTTTTTATTTCCAAAATAACTCTACAGAGTTCTTATTAGCCTAAAATAGTTTTACACTAGAATTATTTATTCTTTTTAATATTTTTTTTAAAAACAGTTGTAAAAAACTAATTAAGAAAGTTATTTTGAAAAACTCTAAAATCTAAATCAAAATATCTCTATAAACAACATACAAAAAAATACTTAGAATAAATTTAAATAATATTATATCTTTCTGTAACAAAATAATCATTCTAAAGTATTGTATTAAAGATAAGTAATATGTAAAAAAAACTTTATAATTATCGCTCATAACTAATAATAATATGCTCATAAACAATACAATCATTACATTATTATATTTTCTTATGCACATTCTTTAAATGATGGTTTTAAAGTGTTATTTTACAACATAAATAAATATTTTTTTATATAAATTTAGTTTTTATGATTAAAAATTGATTAGTTAATTTTTAAATTTAAAATAATAAAGTAAATATTATTATTTTATAATTTTTATAATAATAATAAATATTATTAAATATTAATTTTAGATATAATAAAAATTAAAATCATATTAAATAATTTTATCAACTTATTAAATTAAAAATTTATAAAAATAGTGTTTAAGTTGAAAGACTATTAATATTTTATATTAAAATATAAAAATTAATATCATGTTTAACAAAATATAAAAAGATGAAAACATATTTAACCTTAATATTTCCTTTAATATAAAATATCTTATTTAAGGACTATTAAAAATTAATTTATATTTTGAGATTATTTTATTTCTAAATTTTAATATACTTTTTCTTGCTAGAAGAGACAGTCTGATTATCATATTTTTCAGTTAGTTTTTAATTAATTAGATATTTAATTCTTCTATTATGATTTTGGACCTTTCACCTAATTTATGAACACCAACTTTTCATATTTTTTTTAATTTAATGTATATTTAAAATTTTAATTAAATTTGAAAATATGAATGAAATAGACAGATAAGTTGCCCCTTATTTAAGATTCCATAATTCCCTATGAAGTTAAGCTGTCATCTCATTCTATCAGGACAAATAAATATTCAATATTAGTCGGCAAGAAGTGATGGAACTGATACCCACGCGCTCATTAGGCAAGTGGGATTCAAATTTAAGCATTTGTTTTTGTCATCATATTACCTCGCATTTTGGAAACTATTTCCTTTTTCTCTCTTTGGCCACTTTCTTGTTCTAACCCATACATGACAAAGACGACACAGAGTTTGAGCCAAGAGAAAAGCTTTCACACTTCACTTTACTCTTCTCTCAGCCCTATCTAAGACTTGAGTAACTCAAAAAGACTGCAGCCTAGGGTTCATTCTGGTACTTGAATGCCTCGAGAAAAATCACAGTTTCAAGACACTTTTCAAACAATGTGGCCCTCAGAAAATATTTGGTGAGCTGAGTTTCAGATATTGTGATTATTATTATTATTATGTTCTTTTTTCTAAAAAAGAACAAGACACGCATCACATGTTGCTTTGTATCTCCTGTTATTGTCCATCACTGGTTTTACCTTTCATTTGAAATGATTATCCAACATGAAAAATAAGTAATATATAGTTGGTGCTTGGTTGTGCTCAATTCCCTGTTGCTTCATTTTTCCACAACCATCTATCACTTCTTGGTTGTGCATTTATTTATCTGAGTTGCAAGTGTTCACTTTCTATGTTATGTGTAGTTTCAAAACCTTACTAAGATTTTGTTGTGTGTGTGTGTGCGTGTGGAGGAGTTTGAGTTTGGGTTAGGCAAGTGCATACTTTATGGGTCCACGTTTATGACTTTTGGGATTTCAAAGAGAAAGCATGAATGGTAAGTGGTCCTTTGACCATACCCATTTGAAGATGGCTTGGATTCAGCATCAAACCCAACAAAAAGATGGTTACATGAGTTATCCACCACCGGTTTTGCCTCCCCCTTCACCCCCAATCTGGGGTGTATTCCACAAAGAATCAATGTCTTCACCATCATCTTCCTCACCTCCCTCACCTTCATCCTCTGGTGCTAGAATAAGTCCTGCTGTTCTTTTCATCATAGTGATTTTGGCTGTTCTGTTTTTCATCTCTGGACTGCTCCACCTGCTTGTTAGGTTTCTCATAAAGAACCCTTCTTCCTCAGCATCTGCCCAATCCAATAGGGACCAGGAAATTGCACCCTCTGATGCTCTACAAAGGCAGTTGCAACAACTTTTTCATCTTCATGACTCTGGTCTGGACCAGGCTTATATTGATGGACTTCCTGTTTTCCAATACAAAGAGTTAAAGGGGTTGAAGGAGCCATTTGATTGTGCTGTCTGTCTCTGTGAGTTTTCTGAAAAAGATAAGCTCAGGCTGCTCCCTATGTGCAGTCATGCTTTTCATATCAGTTGCATAGACACTTGGCTTTTGTCAAACTCCTCATGCCCTCTTTGTAGGGGGACCCTCCTTACTCCTGGATTTTCCCTTGAAAATCCAGTGTTTGATTTTGATGATTTGAGGGATGATGGGGGTTGCCCCTGCAATGGGGAACATGAGTTCACAACTAGGCAGAAAACTGTTGAAATTGAAGAAACTGTGGTAGAGAAGGGGGTTTTCCCCGTGAGACTTGGCAAATTTAGAAGGCTTGATGGGGAGGCAGAGGAGACTGCAGGAGGAGAGACTAGCAGCAGGTATTTGGATGCCAGAAGATGTTACTCCATGGGATCCTATCAATACGTGGTTGGCAACTCAGACCTCAGGATAACCTTGAGCAATGACAGACAAGGTCGTGATGCACAATTCTTGAGAGGAACAGAAAACTTGCAGAGACTTTCAATTGAAGGGGATATTGAAGCAAAGAAGATTACAAGTGTCTGTAAAGGTGAGAGCTATTCCATTTCCAAAATCTGGCAGTGGTCAAAGAAGGGAAAATTTTCAGTTTCTTCTGATACCCAGACGGGTATGCCTTCTTCTCTTAACACGGATTTGCCTTGGATGAGGGAAACAGGAAGAACATGAAAGGTATCCATAGTATATCCCCGTTCCCCTCTTATATGCATTCATTTGAATCCATTGATTAAAGCCTTTGCTTTTCCTTTAAATTTGTTCAAACATGTGGTATTCTAATCTTGATTATGTGGTTATTGACTGCGGAATAGTGATGTACTACAATTCTGTGACATGAAGATGGAAGAAATATATGTTTCTATAAAAACAGATTTTAGGAATTAACTGATACAAATGTTATTGATACATACAAGTTGTAAACATACAAACAAGGACCTATCATTGCCAGACAACATCTCCAACATTTCAGGAGATTCAGGAAGAAAATATCAGAGAGGGGAGAAAATATTTGCTAAAACTAAGTAACACAGCTTATTTACAGCACAAAACTGTTTCGACAGTTTCTTGAGTCAGTACATCTTCTGAATACACGAGATCATGAGATGTTGATAAGCATCAAACATTTTATAGATCATGAGATGTTGATAAGCATCAAACATTTTATATATAGTTGCTAGGAGAAGCAAAGGCTTACTTACTACCTGCAATTCTTTATTTGGATTCAATTTTGAAATCATAACCAGATTTTAAATTGCAGTTATGCAGTGTAGACACATTTGCGGTTAAAATATCTTAGAAAAACCATGATATTGTAGAAGAACTACTGATAAAATCCAAATAATTTGTTATATTCCACTCATTAAAATTACATGTTTGAACGAGTCTCTTAATTTCATTTTTTTATTTATGTTGTTTTTCTCTAGGATAACAGAGGTTTATCAACAAATAGCAAGGGGTGGTTCAACAAGAAAATGATTTTGGTTTAGTATTTGTAGATATCTTACCCAATTTGTAAGATTTCAACACTAGCAAACGAACGCTACTGGGGTATTGGCCAATGATTTGACGGATTGTCAACCATGCAATTTTTGAAACTTACTTCGAATGGTTAAATGCTTTTATATACATTTTCAACAGATAAGAAAAAAATTATATAATTTTCTATTAAGTTACAAATGAATGTGTATATTATATTAATGCTTTTAATATTTCACTAATACTCCAGTTTCTTTAGAAATTTTACGTAAAGCTGATTTGTATTTTATAAACATTTTATTACTCTACTGGTAATTTCTTTAGTTTTAAAAACATGAGGTCTAAATAATTGATAAGGTCTTTGGAATGATAATAGAAATTCAATAATTTGATTCTTCGTAATTTATTGAGAATTTAGTTATGTATAATATCGTTCGTGAGAGCTATCCCATAATTTGTATAATTTTATTTTTAAAAGTATGTGGATAAATTTGTCATAATAATTTACAGAAAGATTTTTTTTAAGAGGGCATAGAAAGTGGTTAATATAAAAAATATCATAAAAAAATATTTATTTTGTATGATAATAAAAAATATATAAAAATGTTCATGTTGGAAAAAATAAAAAATATTATTTTATAAAATTAACCAAAAATAATTATTTTTTATATTTTTATAATTTTATTTTATATTGATTTTTAATTATGTTATTTTGGTAATGTATGATAAATATAAAATGATTGTAAAACTCAAATTAATAATTTTATATTTTTTAAAATATGATATTATTTTATTATTTAAATTCAAATATTTTTAGGCAAATATAATTTTATAATTATATATCAAAACATATATTATTAAAAAAATAAGATCTTAATTTAAAAAAGTTATTTTATTCATAAAAACAATTAATAATTATATAAATATTTGTATATTATATAAATATTTAATTTATTTACGAGTTTTTCAAATAAATATTTTCTTTTACTTTCCTATATATATTTTTTGACGAATAAATATATCTTTTATTTTTATTTTTGTTTACACCTTTCTTATTTGCCGTAAATTAAGTGTTTTTCTACTTGATTCATTAATAATCAGTTATTATCTTGGAACCTACAAATACTTATAAATTTTGCAGCACATGTATCAGACAAGTACATGATAGGGGTCATTAATAAATTAGGTAAGCAAGATTATTTGATTTTATTAGGTAGGGGTCACCATAAAAGAAGAATAGTTTCTTTTAAATTTTATTAAAAAATATAATATGATCTCCTTTAAAAATTTATATATATTAATATTTTTTAGATTAATTTTCTCACTGGGTCTCTATTGATGTTTCTTAATGAACTCTTAAAAGGTAAATAAACTACAATTCTTAAAGGTAATAAACTAGAATTCTTAAAGGTTATAAACAGGTTGAAGGTGGTGGAAGCTTAAGAATCATATTGCCTGTTGTCTTGGTTGAAAGAAAGTAAAATTAGTTGATTCTAGAGTAGGTTATGTTGTAAAGTTGGCAAGGAAGGCTATGGTATAAGTTCTTGAATTATGACAAAGTTTTGAATGGTGTTTAGATGGATGGCCATGAACTATATAAGGCAAAAAACATGGTGATTCTTGGCTTTGTTCTTGAACTATTGGTTTGGTGTGGTGTGAATGTGGTATAGAGCAATGGTGTAGGTGACTTAAGCCACGACACATGGTTCATGGGAGGATAAAAGGAATGAATTCCTATAAAACAAAAAATTGAAGTTATTCTTCATGGAATATACACAGAGCAAGGTAACTCCTCTTCTTCTAAATCTCTTAACCACCATTTTTCAATTTCTTCTTTTTGTTCCAAAGCCCAACAAGCATAAAATATTTTAGACGTTGAAGGACGCATTATTTATGAATGTCCAACCAAAAAGACAATAATAGTGATAAATGATGGTAAGGTAAAGTCTAATCATTTATCATCTTCTTCCTCCTTCCTCAAGTGATAATATGAGGAAATCACACCTATTGGAGGAATCTTTATTGATAATTAGATGCATGTTTGGACATGTCAAAAAATGTTTAAAGATAAAATAATTTCATTTAAATGTCTAATAGTAAAAAAAAAACTCATCATATTATATAATAACAATCTCAAACTATTATTTATATAATGGAAATACTTGTTTTGCATCATTTTTTTCTTTGAGAGTTTTAGTAGAAAAAAAAATCCTTCATCTTCAAATGAACATATTCTTCCACAGTCATATGAAGGAATCATGGTCCGTGGGACGTTTAACCAATTTTGGGACAAAACTGTAACAAAATGAAAAATTATAGACATAATCTTCATTTTACTTCTCTCCCATTTTATCATTAAAGTTTCATGCTTAACTAACAACATCATAGATGAATTTAAGACCTATAATCTCTGTAAGATAATGAAAACTTGAAAGTATTTTATGTCTTCCTTATCCTATACATACAGTGGCGGATCTTGACCATTGATCTTGGGGGGGCCAAATAATATATTATTAATAAGTAATAAATAAATATAAAAGGAAGAAAGAACATGAAAGGTTGAAAAGATAAAATTGTAGATATATAATATATTAAATGATCATTAGGTTTGAGGGAAACAAAGAGAGTTATAAAACTGAGGAGGGGCTGAGAGGATAAAATTGTAAATATACAAGTAAATATATTAAATGTTCATTATGTTTGGGGAGACCAAAATCATAAATTACATGAGAGTTACAAGACTTTGGGGGGGCCACAGCCCCCCTCAGCTCCCAAGAAGATCCGCCACTGTATACATACAAAATATACTTGGTGTAGGATTTGAAATTGTGAGGGCATAAGTATAATGGAAATGGGGAGTGTGGTTGAGTTTTAAGAATAACTTTTTGATAGGTCATCTCGAGCATACTTTAATTTGAAAAATCAGGTTTTGAAATTTTTAAAGGAAGAAACATAGACAAAGAAAAAATCGCCATATCGAGATTGATTGAGAGAAATCTAATCTACCTCTAAACAATGTTTACTTGTGCATGAAGGTGAAGTTATTATGATTTGGACTTGATTTTATACATACACGATCGTCCATTAGGCAAGACATGACAAGAACAAACTCGACAACTACATCAATGTGAATATCAAATACTTGGTAAAAGCTTTAATAGAGGAAGTTGGGGTGAAATTGAAGGAATATTGATCCACCGTATTAAGTACCTAGTCATACATAAGATATGAGATCTATTTATCCTTTTGATTCACCATAAAGGTGCTTAGACTAGTCCTAGTTTCTACCTTTTGGACATTAGGCCTCCTTAGAGAGGGGAAGGGATCTATGCTAGATTAACCTCTTCAATTACTTTTTCTAATGTAGGGAAAGCATAAACAACCTCTATAGAGGGAGGGTTAACAAAAATGACTTTAGCCACATTGGCACCCTTTCTTATAAGAGAAACTATTGAAAGAGTCAAAGATATTTTTTCCCCTGGTGGACTCATCCCCCATAGGTTTAGCATCACATTTAACCATAAGTGATTCAACGAATAATGAACTACTTGAGTCATTGAAGAACTATTTTCAAGACCAAGATCACGAGTACTATTTATTATCATTTTCTACTACAAGAATTAATACATAAATATTATTATTATTGAAAAACCCTCATAGGCAAGTTAAACAATGAACACTCCTAACCAAAGTTTTACTTCACTAGGGGAAGGATATAACAATGATTTTCTCTCTTAAACATTCTAAAAGAAACACTTACAAGAAATATAGAAGAAGTTAGTAAGATTGTGTCATAGTTGTTGTTATGTTTTATTCAATTGTTGAGGTCTTTCTTGCAGAGACTTTAAAAAATGACTAATGAAATCCTAGTGTTTATTAATTTTTGAAAATATTTCTTTAATAACCTGATATTCTTTTTCACATGATGTCTCATTTTTTGTATGTCTTGATATTCTTTAGTTGGTTAGTTAAAATATTTTTATTGTAAGTCTTTGCTTTTTACTTTACTCATGTTTCAATGTATGTAACATATTGCATGCTTCTCTTTTTACATAAACATGATCATTGGAGAAAAATATTCCCTTCATATTTTGGATAAATCTTGATTTACTTGGATATTCTTTAACTTTATTTGGTAAGTCTTAATATTATCTAACTTCTCGCTTAAATATTTTTCTTGCATGACTTGCTTTCTC